GGTGATGGTAACACCTAGATCCCCAGACGGTGGCAACGATTAGCAGGATTGGGCACAGCACGTCCAGCAGTCCAGCAACTGGGTGCTCCCTGGGGAACTGGGGAATCCATATTTGGACCCGTTTCCTCTGCTCTAGAAGGAGGCTGATCATTTGTGCCCCCACTGCCCACCTACAACAGGGAGGGCTTTTGTGGGAAGGAAAAGTTATGAAGACACAGAAATGTGATGAAAGTACAGGTAATTTGGGGGGATGGTTGGTTTATTTAGCAGGGGGAGGAAAGAGCTGGGGGAACAAACAAGCCTAGACTGGTCGTAGGCACTTAGGGTGGTGCCTGGCATCCATGAGGCATCCCAGAAGCACAGTGATAGGAGTAAGTACGACGCCGTACTAAGCTGCTGCAAGGCATGTGAGGGGTGAAGAAGTGGGAACAGAACAAGGTGCCAGAGAGGATCCGATGGCATCACCCCACCCAGCAGAGAAACCCACCCCAAATGTGGGACCTGGCTCAGTGACAGAGGGCTGCCCTGCTAAGAGTGGGGGCTAGGAAGGCCCCAGCATCCAGGGACAGGAGCTCTTGTTCACCTGAAAAATCACATCTCAGGGCAGCAACGGCTTCCAGAAACACTCGACCGGGAATCTCCAAGCCGGCAGTGGTCCCCTCTGCAGCAGCCCACCTCTAGCTACCTTTACAACGCGGGACACACGGCCAAGTCAGCTTTCCTTTAAAGAAAGTTTACTGTGGTTTGAGATGGTTTCGAAATCACTGGCCTAATCCTAGACTTTCAGTGCAGATGGGGAAACCGAGGCTGAGATGGAAAAATGCCCTACACGGGAATCAGCCAGGCGTGTGAATGAGCTGCAGATCCAGGCTTGGGTCAAGCCTGTCGCTGTTCCTGGGCACCTACTAAGGGCTGGGGTCCTGCGGGGATATGCCTGGGTGCTATTTGGGGTTTTGGATCCCTGGCCAGATGAGCAGGGGATGAGTTGGACCCCTCAGAGTTGTGTGGTACTTAGCAGGCAAAGGCACTCCTTCCCTAGAAACTGACATGGAGGCCCCGCCCTGTGGGTAGGAGGTGGGGTCTCTGGGGCGGGGGGCGTGGTCAGCACTGGCTTTGTCACCTGCCCAGGGAAGAGGCAGGTTTCTCTAAGGGACTCCAGAAAACTCATCTCTCTCTCACCCAGTATCTATTGAGCTCTTCTCCCACACTAGGCTCTGTGCCACATGCTTTTAAGTGTGAACACATTAAATTGTTTCACAATCCATGAAATTGGCACTCTATTAGTAAGCCCGGTTTACAGAGGAGGAGGGTGAGACTGGAGAGGTTCAGTCACCCAGCTGGTGGGGGTGGAGGCCAGGATTTGAGCCCTCGGACTACCCTGAGGGCCCCTACTTAAAAAAACAAAACATAGGAAAAGAACTTGTATTTAAATAGAAATTGCAGGAATGACAGAATTTCTGCAGAATTTCACCCAGATTCCCCGACTGCTAAGACTTAGTCACAGTAACTTTATCATTCCCCACCTATCTTGTTCTCAACTGTTTGAGAGTAAATTGCAGACACTGTGAACCTTTACCTCTAAATATTCCAACATGTGTTTCCTAAAATCAAGGACAATCTCTTACCTGACCACAGGACAACTACCCAAATCAGGAAATTAACACCCAGAAGAGTCTATTAGCTAGTCAACCGACCTTACTGGGACTTGACCAGCTACCTTCGCGATGCCCTTCATACCAACAGGAAATCCCGGATCCCACACAGCTTCGGCTGTCCTGTCTCCTCTAATCTGGAACAGTCCTGTCTTTGTCTTTCAGGATCTTGTCTTTTTTTTTTTTCCCAAGATTGCATTCATTTATTGATATATAGAGAGAAAGAGCATGAGCTGGGGGAAGGGCAGAGGGAGAGGGAGAAGCAGATTCTGTGCTGAGACGCAGGGCTTCATCCCAGGACCCTGAGATCACAACCTGGAGCCGAAGGCAGACGCTTAACAGACTGAGCCACCCACACACCCCAATCTTGTCATTTTTTTTAAAGCATGCAGTGCAGTTATTTTATAGGGCTGCTCTCAGTCTGGGTGTGTCTCCCATTTCCTCACGATCACATTCATGGTGAGAGTTTCTGTCAGCTGCTCCACAGAACTGATGCTGTGTCCTCCTCCGGGCATTGTTCAGGGGACACACGAGTCAGTTTGTCCCGTTACTGCTGAAAGCAACCTTGATCATTTAGCCAAAGTGTTATCTTCCAGGTTTCTCCACTGTAGAAAGACTATCTTTCCATTTCCAATTAATAATTACATTTAGGGGGTGCCTGGGTGGCTCAGGTCATGATCTCATGGTCCTGGGATGAGCCCCTTGTTCGGCTCCCTGCTTAGTGGGGAGTCTGCTTGCCCCTCTCTCTGATCCTCCCCCTTGCTTGGGCACTCTCTCTCTCTCTCTCAGTCTTTAAAAAAACTATATTTAGGGTCATGCTTTGAAACTATAAAACTATATACGTTTCTCATCAAATTTTCATATCCATTGATGATTCTTCTTGGATCCATTATTACTAGAATGCTTGTCTAATGGTCATTTTCTAACTCCATCATTCCTTCTACTGGAAGAAGGAGATTTGTCTTCTTCTATTCATTCATTCATTCATTCATTCATTCATATTAGTATGGACTCATTGATTCTTCTCTTATTTAATGGGTTATGATCCATCATTACTGTTATTATTTTTTTTATATTTCAATTGTCCTAGATTTGTCCAGTAGGAACCCCCCTTGCAAACCACGGAGCCGCCACTTTTAAATATGACATTGCACTACGTCCCTTGGCCTTGACCAGTAAGGGAGCCATGTCTGTGGGCAAGCAGTCTCTGCGCGTGGGTACTGAAGAGCTGACCCCCTGACATGGGCAGGCAGGGCATGGGAGCAAAGGATTTAGGCAGCATGGGGTCCTTGGGTGTTGTGCAGGTCGCTGGGGACTCATTCACTAGTTGAGCACCTATAATGAGGCCTCTGAAATCAAACTCTACTAAATCAAGGGAAAGAGGAGTCTGGCCGGTGACCAAGGCTCCACACAAAGACCATCTAGTCGATGGGTCCTAAGCCTTCCACTGCCAAATAAGGTAGGCGCTATGATGTCAGTTTCACAGAAATTGTGGCTGTTGCAGTGACAGGCACTTCAGACAATGAAAACAGCATGAGCAAGGACAAGGGGGATGAACGGCGACACTCCCCCATTTTGCATCCCCCACCAAAGCTGCCCCTTTTGAGTGGAGCTCCAGGCACTGAATATAAATCTTGCATTTATACTGGAACCCACTCAGTTGGGCACAGCCCTAAATATCTGGACCCGGAATCTATCCGGTCCAGATTCAAATTCCATTTCTTGTACTTCCGAGCTGGGTGGCTTTGGAAAGTCACTTGACCTCTCTGAGCCTCCACTAATATATTTCCTCGACAGATATTTACAGAGGGCTCACTATGTGCTGAGCACTGTTCCAGGCACATGACATGCTGTGGTGAACAAGGCAGACAAGAAACTTCCATTCTGGGGGCACCTGGGTGGCTCAGTGGGTTAAAGCCTCTGCCTTCGGCTCAGGTCATGATCTCAGGGTCCTGGGATCAAGCCCCACATTGGGCTCTCTGCTCAGCGGGGAGCCTGCTTCCCCTCTCTCTGCCTGCCTCTCTGCCGACTTGTGATCTCTGTCTGTCAAATAAATAATTAAAATCTTAAAAGAAAAAAAAAAACCCTTCCATTCTGTTTAGGGAAGGCAGACATTAAATAATAAGCAAATATAAGCAAGGTAATACCTTATGGAGATATGAAGGTTAATATAAGAACAAATTTCAGAAGTGGGGGCTCTTTTAGGCAGGGCAGTCAGGAAAGACCTCTCTGAGGCAGTGACATCTAAGCTGACGTGAGAAATGAGAAAGAGCCTGGCAGTGAACAGAAAAGGACATAGCTAGTGCAAAGGACCTGTGGTAGGAATAAGCTAGGTGTGTTTGAAAGACAGTGAGAAGGGCAGTGTGGCTGAAGAGCAATGGGTGAGATGAGAATGGAAGGTGAGGCTGCAGAGCTGGGCAGAGGCCAGATGGCTTAGGGCCCTATAGACTGAAAGGAGGAATATAGTTTATATTCTAAATTCAAAGGGAAGCCATTGAGGGTGTTAAACCAGAGGGTGGGAGTGTACGAAGGAATCTGATCCTTATTTTAAGAAGATCTTTGGTGTGTGAAGAAAGCCTTTAGGGGCAAAGTGGGGAGGCTATCAGGAGACTTGCTGTCATGGTCCAGATAAGTTGATGGTGCCCAGGCTGGAGGTAGAGCCATGAGGGTGGGGAAGAGTGGTCAGATGCTGGACAGTGTTGGAGGTAGAGCCAGCCTCACTGGTGGGGAAGAAGGGAGAAAGAGGAATGGGCTTGAACAACTGAAACTGGGAAGTCTGGGGGTACGGGGAGTTGAGGTAGGGTTAGTGGTTGGGAACTGGATTTTTGCCATTCTCATCTGGCACCCAGCTAGAGGTGCAGAGGGGCAGTCTAGAATTCAGAGAAGCTCTCCGGAGATCATGGGCATATGGTTGGCATTTAAAACCACGGGACTGGATGAGATCATCATGGCAGAGGGTGTAGATTGAAAGGAGAAGAGGCACGGGGCTGTTGACTGCAAAATGAGACAAATGACACCTCCGCCCACGCGGCTCTCGCGAGGTATCACGTGAATGCACGCACCCAGTCCATGTTCTTACCCGGGTTGAGAATCCCGACAGCGCTGAGGCTGAGCGGGGGGAGGCGGGGAATGGGGGCCCCTTGTGGGCGGGGCCATATGGGGGCGGGGCCATATGGGGGCGGGGCCGAGAGCCGGGAGGCCTCTCCCCGGCCGGAGGGACCGCCGGGCGGTGACGTCACCGCATGACTGGGTTTTTATGAATGAAAGGAATCTTGTGAGTGAGTAATTCCGGGAAGCTCGCCTTACAACTCCGCGCCGCCCCCCGCGCCGCCCGCCCCACAACAAAACTCGGCGCGGCGCTCTCGGGAGCCCGGCTCGGAGCGACCCGCGGTCGGGACCGGAGACGAGACGGACCAGGGCGCGGGCCGGGACAGCAAGCCCGGACGGCAGCAGCAGCCGCGCGTGCCCGGGGCGCCAGGCGAAGCGGGCCGAGAGGCGGGTGAGGGACGCGGGTCCGAGACCGGGACGGGCGCGCGAAAGCGGAGGCGGCAGGGTCTCCGCGCCCGGGAACGTGCCTGGGGCGGGGCACCGAGGCCCGCTCCGTCGGCTCCCCGGTGTATCCCTCGCCCGGACGGCTGGCGGGGGGGGCTGGGGGGACTGGGTGGCTGGGGGGGCGGGGGGCGGGGGGCGGGGACCAGAGGTCCGGGCGGGGGCCGAGACGGGGTCCAGGCAGGCTTGGTGGGGTGCGGAGACGGGCCCCTTCTGGGGGCGCGCGCGGGGAGGCGGCGGAGCCGGGCAGGAAGGGACAGCACAGGCGGGCGAGCGTCAGCGTCCGCCCAGGCGGGGCCGGGGGCGGTGTGTGCACGTACGTGACTCGGTGAGAACAGTCCTTGGACCGCTGCCCGCGGGCCGTGCGTGCGCGGTTTGTTTACGTCCGAAGGCGGGCGTGTGTGTGTGTGTGTGTGTGTGTGTGTGTGTTCCCGGGCCAGTGTCCCTCTTATCTAGCCTGGTGCGTGCGTGAGAGAGAGAGGGAGAGGGGGAGAGAGAGTGAGTGAGTGAGTGTGTGTGTGTGTGTGTATGTGTGTGGTGTTTGTGTCGACCTGCGCGCTCCCAGGGCAGTGAAGACCCTGGGCCTGTGGCCAGCGGTGTGTACCTCAGAGAGAGTGTGCCCACAGGAATAAACGCGGAATGAGGATTCGGTCGAGGGAAGTGGCCCGTTCCATGGTCACACGGGGGTCCGGGAATTCTCCCTGGGGCTGTCCCCTTCCTACCAGCCTGCAGCCAGTCCCTTGCTGTCCCTGGAGTTTCCCGGGGACATGGCCATGTGACTGCGGTGTTTGTCCCCCGCCCAGAGCCGGAGCCTGCAGCCACAGGGTGCGGCAAAGTATCAAAGGCCCCACCCGGCTGGGTGGAGGGCTGGGGGGGGTGGTGAGATGAGAGAGCCACCCCTGGCCTCAGCACCCACCGATGGGTCCGGCAACAAGTGGGCTGGTGCCTCTGTCCTTGTCCCCAGGTTGTCCAGCTGCCTGGGGAAGGCAGACCCTGGGGACTCTCCTTCATCCCCAGGGTTGCCCATCTCCTGCCTCTTGGGAGGAAGAAGGGCCAGAAAACCCACCGCAAAGGTGGGAGGTGGGAAGGAGTCCCTGGCCCCCTCTCTTTCGTGGCTCCTCTGGCTGGTCCTGGTTCTGGAGGTTGTACCTGCTGGGTTGGGGAGGGTGAGACCGGGAGGGTGGGGTGGAGCTGGTTTCTGCCCTCCTGGTGGTTTCAGTTCCCAGGTGGGATTAGTCAGACAAACCTACTGATGGTTGGACCTGAGGAGCTAGTTGAAGGCCTGGGCCAGCCCTGGGACCCAGAGTCCTCACCCTGGGCTAGCCCAGGTCATGGTCAGCAGGCAGTGGCACAGGTGGTCTTGTTCCATGAAGGATTAATATGTGAGGGGTGGGGCCATGACCTAGCCTTTTCTCATCAGTCCTGTGGGATGAGATGGGGGTTAGGGATATCTTCCTCCTATTCTGCGCTGCTCCCATCTACAAAGCTTAGAATGTTGTGGGGGGTGTGTTGGTAATTGAACTTGCTGGGGTGAGAAACCAGATGATCTTTTAACCTTGAATCTTTGAGCTCTGGTGAGCTCTGCTTCCACGGCTGGGAATTTGAGTGATTCCAACTGCAGCAGGAACTAGGCTATGTGGGGTGGCAGGATGGGTGTAGAATGGGGAGGGACGGATCTGTAGGAGAGAAAGGAGAGTCCACAGCCCCAGTCTGGAGCCAGGGATGTCCAGGAGTATAGGGTTTGAGTAAGGGAGGTGGCAGCCAGGAGCACAGGAACCGCACAGGCCCATCCTTCAGAGCTGGACAGGAAACATCCCCCAGTAGGGCGGAGATTCAGGGGACAAGGGGAAGTGACTGGTTGGATCACAGATGGAGAGTTTTGACTCCCATTGAATCACCTCTGGGCCTTCCCTAGAGCCTGAGACTGAACATGGGCTCCTGTGGCTCCCTCCTTCCTGACACTTTTAGCCTGAGTTTCAGTGGACCCTGTCATGGGCCAGATGCTGGGAATTAGATGGTGAACACATAAGATCTAGAGCCTGCCCTCCGGGACCTTACGGTCGAGGAAGGGGAGACAAAGTTGAAAGAGCTACCAAACTCCGTGCAAAACCACAGCTGAGATGGGTAGTATGAGGCAGAAGGCTCTGTGATTTGCAAGTATATAACAGGACTCTGACTTAGCCTGGGCAATCAAGGGAGGCTTCCCTGAGGAGGTGACCAGTGAGCTGGGTTGTCAGATGGAGGGATGGTCACCTATAAAGCCCTTAAGGGCTGGGGTTGTGATTCTTCTTTGGGCCTTTGGGACCCAGCAACAAGTCTGGCACAGAATAGGTGCTTCTTGGAGGTTTGCTGATGAAATGAATGAATGAGCCTAGATCCACATCCTGGAAGAACAACATAGCACTTGGTGTCAAAGGGCTGGGAACCCCAGGGAAGCAGGAAGCCTGAGGGAGCTACGGGATTCTTGAAGCAGTCTCTCAAAAGTGAGCAGATCGTTCAGGATCCAGGTGCCATCCTCCTTCACATGCACACACACACATGTACACACACAGGCACACACAGATACACACAGACACACTCCCTGTGGGAAATGTACAAGAATGGTAGGTTACTGTCCTTTTTTTCATTCGTTGTGAGCTTGAGGATCCTGGGAGAGAGTGGAGAGGGAATCCGATAGAGACACGGGGGCCCTGCTGTGCGGGCTGGAAAGGAGGCTGGCGTGGCAAGGTTTTGAAATGGGCTGAGCCTGGGCTGGTTTGTAGGTTTGTGTCAGCTGTCATCAGTGAGAGGAGGACAGATGACAGGGCCGGCACTGGAGGCAAGCGAGACCGGAGGCCAGTGAGGAGGCGGCTGTGGTCATAGCTCCGCTGAAAGGGGAAGTGGTCCCCAGCTGTGCAGGTGGAACGGAGGGATGGTCAAGGCTGACAGAGCCAGAGTTTGTGTTCTCATGCCTCTGCCTCCAGGAAGCCTTCCCTGATTGCCTTCCCCTTTCTCCAGGGCCTCCACTCTGTTGGTGGTCTTGGAGTTCCATTCTGGACCAGAATCTGCCACTCAAAACTCCAAAGTAATCAGTGCTGGAAAGTCCTCTAGGCTCGGTGAAGTTTGGGCATGGTGGGAAACTGAGGCCCCGAGAGGGGAGTGGCGGATCTGAAGCCACGCGCAGTGAATGTGAGTGGGTGGCAGAGTCCCAGAGCTAGAATGCAAGGCCCCTGCTTCCCTGCGGTGCTGGGTTCTCTCAGCTTTGCTCCCCTTCCAGCAGGGAGGAGGCTGCACCAGTGCTGGCTGCCAAGGCCCAGGAAAACACATTTTTTCCCTCTGTCCTCACAGAGGAAGCAGAATGGCTCAGCAGCCAGCGAGGAGCCCATGCCAGTGGGTGGGCCGTCTACAGGATGTCTCTGGAGCGGACCTGGGGCCAGGGAGGGGAGGGCAGGAGAGCTGGTGGCTGCTGGCTGGGCCAGACCACTGTGAATCCCTGAGAATCAGTTCACTCTCTGTGCCTCCGAAGGAGTGTTGAGAACCTGCAGACCTTGGAGGTTGGCTCTGCTGGCCTCCAAGGGAAGAAGAGAAAAAAAATGGGTGGCGGGGGTAGCGATCCAGTGGCTGGCAGTGAAGAAAGGGCCCTGAGCTGGGGGTCAGGACCATTTAATACCTGCTGCGTGACTTCAGGCAAGAGATGCCCCTTCCTCTTGGGCTAAGTGAGGAGGCAGGGCCAGGTGCCCTCCAGGGACCTATCCTGGGTAACCCCAGCCAGCCAGAAGAGGCTGAGTCCACGCAAGGTCCCGGTGCCTGCTACTGGCCTGATCCCCCTCCTGGAAGGACTCAGCCATTCTGATAACCCCCAGCTGCTCTCGGGGCTCTGCAGTTTGTACTGCTTGGCAGGTACTGTTCTGATCCCACCGTTGTAGGATCTGATTTCCAAATCGGATCTGATTCTGATTCCTACAGTTGTAGGAAGAGTGGAGGCCCAGAGAGACGGGCCTTGCCCCAGGTCTCACAACCCGGAGAAGACAGGTACAGGACTCAAACCCAGGCTTGCCTCGATCCATTGCTCCTTCCTTGCTTCCCATATCCCAGCCGGGGGCCAAGCATCATGAAGGTAGAACCCCTTCTGCTCCCTTCCCTTCTTCCTGGAGTCTGGGTACCGTCCTTGCCATGCGGAAGCAAGGAAGCAGATGGAAAGGAGGAAGAGTTGGAGACAGGGTGGGAGGTTTTTCTCCTGGACAGTGTTCAGCTAGGCTTGGGCTTGGCACTGGGTTCAGAGACTGACAAGCTGGGTCATGGTGTCAGAGACCACCCACTCACATCTCACCAGTGCCTGCTCCCTGCCAGGCCCTGTGCTGGGGGCCTCAGGACCCAGAACTGCTGTTGCTGCCTCAAAGGTCCCTGTCTGGTGGGGGAGACAAGGGCACAGAACATTACAAGATAAGAGAGAAGTGCCAGGGTGGGTGGTGTCTGAAGAGTCATGTGGGTGCAGGAGGGCTTCCTGGAGGAGGCCTTATCTGTGTGGAAGGCAGAAGAAAGAGCAGGAATCTGCCAGATAAGGTCAGGGGAGAAGTGTCACAGGGCGTGGAGTTGCCCAGAGGCCATAGACTGTGGGAGAGAGGAAGTGAAAGAAATTCTGGCTGTGGAGGTGCCAAGTGGAGGTGGGCCGTGATGACAAGCAAGCCTGGGATGCCACGCAGGTGGGCCTGGACTCTGTCCCAGGGATAAGGAGCCACTGAAGGTTTTCCTCTGGGTGGTGACATGGTCAGAGGCACATGCTGGAAAGATCCTCGTGCTGCTGTGTGGAGGACTGAGCAGAGGCCAGCAGGAGAGCATTCTAGGCCGTTCTAGGTGTGTTGGGGGAGAGGAAGGCAGCTGTTTAAGAGGACTGCAGTGAAGGGCAGGATTGGTGGGTGTGGTGTATGAGGGTCTCCCGGTGGCATCTGTGAAAGGCCAGGGTCCTGACTTGGGGCTCTCTGGGCCTCAGCGACACCATAGGAAGCCTGGGTGGCCCTGAAGACCTTCCCAGGCTGAGGGCTGTGGTGGTGGCCTCTGTGAGGGGGTCTCTTCAGATGCCACATTCCCCCTCCTGTCCCACTCCTTGTTCCCTCTGGGGTGTCACACCCTCCGGCTGTATGGGCCCGGAGGAGCTGGGTGACTCCAGAGAAGCCTTGGGCTTTCTGCATCTCGGCCCGAGTCACACTGAGAATTCTCCATTCCTTGAACCTCTGCAGTGTGCCAGGCTCTGGGCACTGGAGATGTGGCAGGGGACGAGCAGACTCTCGGCTGCTGGGGAGCTGGCCCTCCAATGGGGGGGGGCAGACACTGAACAGATATGTACAGTAGATGAGTAAGAATGCATACAGTGGAAAGTACCATGGAGGAACATGAGGTAAGGAAGGGAGATCGGGGGAGAGAGAGAGAGAGAGAGAGAGAGACTCTGTGTGTGTGTGTGTGTGTGTGTGTGCGCGTGCGTGCGTGCGCCAGGGGCTGGGAATTCCAAATTGAGTGACAACAGAAGATTTGGGAAGAGACCCAAAGGTGAGGAAGCAAGCTTGGTGGCCATATGGGAGCAGAGAAATCCAGGCCCAGAGAACAGCCAGTGCAAAGGCCCTGGGGAGGAGCATGAGTGGTGTGTGTGAGGAACCACAAGGAGGAGGGCGTGGCTGGAGTGGAGTGAGGGAAGGGGAACCACATAGCAGGTGAAGTCAGAGGTCTACGCTGGGGCGGCATCCTGCAGGGGCTTGTGGGCCATTGTGATGACTTGAGCTTGTACTCCAAGTGAGATGGGAACCGTGGGAGGGTCCTGAGAGAGAAGTAACATGAGTGACCTAACTCTGGGTCACCCCTGGGGAAACCGAGGGACAGAGCGGTTACCTGATGGGCCAGGATCCGAACTAGTGGGAAGCCACCATGGAAAGGCCCCATGGGTGTCTGGCACCGAGGTCCATGCACTTTGCGTTTCAACAGCGTGTCCCAGAGACACGGGGAACCTACGGGAATGTGTCAGAGGCCGATCTGAAGCTGTGAGGTAGACCCCATAGAAAGCTCAAGAAGCCAGGGCTTGGACCCCATTTGCCTCTGCTGTTCCCTAGCATCCCAGGTATTGCTAATGAGATCACTAGGACGCCGCATCTCAGGCCACAGGGCATCTTCCTGCCTTGTCCCCTCTGTTCCTCACCACCACCCCTCCCCGTCGGGATGATCGGATGAGGACATGGAGGCTCACAATGAATTGGGGGAGAAGATCAGATCTGCTGGGGACAGAGAGGACTGCTGCTTTCAAGGGGGTTTTGGGAGACAGTCCCCTTCCTGGCCCCGAGCAGTGGCCACTGGCCTCCAGAAGGTCCCCTCCATGTCTCCCCAGAGCCGATGTCTGGCATAGAGTAGATGCTCAAAAAATACTTGCTGAAGGGACATGGAGCTTTCAGGCCTGTGGGGGAGACACTGAGGGCCACTGGGCCCCTCATCAGTTTAGGGTATGGCTGCCCTGATTGCCCAGGGCAGGGCTGCATTAGTGCTGGGTACCAAGCAGGAAAAGCTTTCCTAAGACAGATTCGGGTGAGGAGGGCGTGGGCTGGGGTGGAGGGGAAGAGACTGGTAATGTTTTATTTTGATGGGGTGCAGGTTGGACTCTGGAAAGTCATTGACTATCATGACTATCATATATATATTATACATGTATATATGTATATAATCTATATGATAGTCAATGACTTTCCACAAACACACATGTGTATATATATAGTATTTTATATATTTTTTATAAATTATAAATTATTTTATATTTATTATATATTTTATATATAATTTGAAGTAACTTTACTCCCAGCATGGGGCTCACTCATGACCCTGTGATCGGGAATTGCATATCCTACCAATTGAGCCAGCCAGGTGCTCCAAATACGGTTTGTGTAATTTGCTGTATATAGGCATCTCTGGTCGTCATATGGGCAAATGGCTGGAGGGGGGTGTCCATTCATTTGATGCATATTTATTGAGCAAATGCTATGTACCAGGCACTGACTTAGGCACATTGATGCCATGACAAGACCACAGTCTTCCTGAGTGTGTGCATTTTGGTGGAGGAGAGGTGGGACAGAGACAGATAACCAAGTAACCAAACAAAATTATTGCAGAAGAGGTGACCATGAGGGTTATAAAATGGGGTGATGTGATGATATAAGAGGTATTTAGCCGGGATGGTTAAACCAATTTGAAGAGGTGACATTTGGCAAAGCTCTCAATGAAGAGTCGCTGTGGGGAGATGAAAAGGAAGACAGCCATAAAGAGAGAAGCAAGTGCAAAGGCCCTGAGGCTGGAATGAACCATTCAGCAGCACCAGTGTGGCTGGACCACTGGGGTGGAGAAAGGTGGTATATGACAGGAATTCCAGAGCAGCAGAGGCCTTGAGTGCCAAGGTAGTGAGTCTGGGTTTTATTCAAAGTAGAAAGGAAAGTGACCTTGGTCTCTTCTCTCTCCTAGGTCTCAGCCCAGAGGGCACCTTTTGCAAACATGTCTGTGGATCCCTTATCCAGCAAAGCCCTGAAGGTGACGAGGCAGCCCCTGTTGTCCCTGTCCTCCCCCTCTCCCTCCTTGCCTAGGCTGACTGTCCCATCCCAACTTCCCCTTCAGTTCCTGGAATCCTCAAGGGTGGTTCAGGTGTTCATGGGGCCCTAGGAAGGGCCCTGGCCTGGAAACCAAGAGGCCTGGGCTCTGGTCGTAGGTTGGGTGCCCCCCTCACACCTCCCCCTCCCCCCGCAGGTCACTTCCATCTCTGGGCTGGCTTCCCCATCAGCACAGTGCTTACTGGGCTAGAGAGGACTTAAAAGGTGCTTTCTGGGCCGGGTTTCTCTGGCTGAGTCCAGGCTGATGCACTGGGTTAGAATTTGGGCCAAGCCCTGGTGTGGTGGTCCCTTTTGTGTTCAAATCCTGGTTAGGCCCAGCTTCCCCTTTCTGGATTCTTCGCCCGCCCGCCCCAACGCTTCGGGGTCTTGGAGCAAACAAGTCCAGCCTCCTCGTTGGGGCCTATGGTGGTGAAGGAGGAACACTGGGGGTGGATGGGGGAGCCGTCTCCAGCACCTGCTGCGCGCCAGACCAGGGCCAGCATCCACAGGCAGGGCGCGACCCTGGGCCTCAGTTTCCCCATGCGCCCAACATTCTACCCCTAGATCAAGCGTGAGCTGAGCGAGAACACGCCGCATCTGTCTGACGAGGCGCTGATGGGGCTGTCGGTGCGCGAGCTGAACCGGCACCTGCGCGGGCTCTCCGCCGAGGAGGTGACGCGGCTCAAGCAGCGACGTCGCACGCTCAAGAACCGCGGCTATGCGGCCAGCTGCCGCGTGAAGCGCGTGTGCCAGAAGGAGGAGCTGCAGAAGCAGAAGTCGGAGCTGGAGCGCGAGGTGGACAAGTTGGCACGCGAGAACGCAGCCATGCGCCTGGAGCTCGACGCGCTGCGCGGCAAGTGCGAGGCGCTGCAGGGCTTCGCGCGCTCTGTGGCCGCTCGCGGGCCCGCCGCGCGTGTGGCGCCAGCCAGCGTCATCACCATCGTTAAGTCCGCTCCGGCCCCGGAGCCCGGGCTGGGGCCGGGCCCCGCCTCCGCCCCCACCCCCGGCCCCTCCCCCGCAGCCTGTTCCTAGTGTCCGCCCCGCCCCACCCGGCCACGCCGCACTTCCAAGACACGCCCCTCCGACCCCAGCTTCCTTCCCAAAGTGCCTAAGCGTGGTCTCGTCCCCAGGTGCCATTTCTCTGCAGCCACCAGCCCCGTGGTGAACACATGATCCCTCCCGAGCCTGCTGTCTTCCTGTTGTGGCCCCTATAACTGGGTCCTAATAGGTGGCCTTGGGGTGAGACAACTTCGGTGAGAACGGTGGGGTGATATTGAAGTCTGGGGTCTCTTTTGGCTGAACAGTCCAGCCGTCTTAGACTGGGACAGTGGGATACAGAGCGGATTAGAGAGAAGGGCTGTCCGGGAGAAGAGGGCCACCCCTCATTTTGTAAAGTGTCTGCTCAGATCGTGTCCTAGCCCCTCCAAACCCTCCCAGGATTCAGGACTAGGTTTGGCTCCCATATGTGTCTCCTGGGACTGGAGGCTAATGTGCCCTGCCTCTGCTCTGGGCCCAGGGGTTCGTGGCCTTCCAAAGCTGGGAGAATCATCAGACATCACCTAGTGAGGGCCAGTTAAGAGATAGGGAAACAGCCTCCAGCAGACAGGCCAGTGCTCAAGGCCATCTGTTTCGTGGCTGAGCTGGAAAAGCCAAGCTGCCCTGAGGTTCCAGCCAGGGTTGTCAGGGACATTGTGGACACGGACTGGAAAGGATGATGAAAGGGCCTCCCTGGCCTGGGAGCTGCCTCTGTGAGTTAGGGGAAGAGAAGTAGAGGGCCAGAGAAGGTGATAAGGATGGAAGAGATGGAAGGAGCTGGCCAGCCAGAGAGAAAGGGGACCAAGGAGACAACCATCGACTGTGGCAGGTGGGAAGATAAGACAGATGCTGAGGTCTTGCAGTCCTGAGAAGGTCCTGAGAAGGACCATTGTGGCTTGAGGGGTGGCCACTGCCACTGATTGCCATTCTCCTGGGGAGCCCAGCCCCAACCCTCCCGCCCTGTATACAGCTGTTTATTTATTGCACGAATCTAAGTTATTCTCCCCAGCCGGAAACCTAGCACCCACTCCCTGGGAAAAGTGGTGTGTGGCCCTGTGCTGGACTTTATATTTTATATCTGCAAATAAATCACATTTTATCTTATATTTAGGGAAAGCCGGACGACAACCATCCAAAAAATGTTAAAAAAAATTTATCCGGCCCCCAGAATTTATTTATTTTCTGACTTACAGTAAGCGAGTTATCCGCCTTCTGTATTTTGTAGACTTTCTGAATAAAAGTCAAATTCTCTTTTTCCACAGTGACCAAGTGTCAGTCCCTGGGCTATGGTTTCTGGAGGGGGTGGGGGGTGGGATGGGTTCTGAATGAGGGGCTGAAGCTGGAGTTCTGCTTATAACCCCAGGCAGGCCCCCCTGCTGGAGTGGGGGGCTAGCCCCGTGTTGCAAATGAAGAAACTGGGCCATTGGCTCTCACTAGCTCTTGCTGGGGGAGGGGAGGAGGGGGGGACTGTTGCTAAAACTACTGTTCTTCCTTCTGGTTCCCTGGAGCCTCCCAGGGGAAGACAAAGCCAGGGGGACAATGAAATGTAGGGTTAAATCCCTGGCATCCCTTCACTGAATAAACAGTCCCGCCCAGAGGAAAATTCCCGGATTTAAGAGTAATCTTTCCAGCACTTTCCCACCGAGGCCTGACTTTCTACAGCCAAGTAGAAAATATTTTCCCCACGGTCCGGAAGGCAAAGGGAGGCCGAGACAGAAGTGGCTTCTTCAGGCCCAGCCTGCAGGCCTAAAAGGCAAGCCTGTATCTCCTCTTTCGCTCCAAACTCACTATAATTTCCTCCCCGTCTGCCAGCCCTTTGGGGACACCCTGAAGAGAAATGGAGGATACAGCGGTCTGGGGGGCAGGAAAATCAGGGTTTGAATCCGTGTGTGCCTGTTTCTAGCCATGAGACTTGTGGTGGTTTCTTTAGCTTCTTACAGCCTCCCTGCACAGAGAAGGTACTCGAAGGGCATAGGTGTGACAAGCACCGGGAAACCCGAGGGGCTGTAAGCTTTAACATGCAGTGGACACAGTCACAACAGCGCGCTGGCACATACACACGCACACACAGGCTGAGGGAGAAGGCCACGTCTGTGGCAGCTGTGGGCTTTGAAAGTTGGGGAAGGGTCAAACCGCATGGGTTGGCAGCGTCCACTGGCCTTTTTCCCCCTCTCACGTTGAGGCCCCGTCATCCTGATCCCTGATCCGGGGATGCTGAGCTCAGGCCTGCAAAAGGGCAGCCGGAAGCCTCGGGCGGGACAAGTGGAGTTTCGAGGCTGGCTGGGAAGTTCCCCCCGCCCACGCCGCATTCCTGAGCACTCCTGTCAGCCCACCAACCCCTCCTCCCTGAAAGTGGGTGGCCATGGCCTGGTACCTGGCCTCCTTAACCCTTGGGGCAGGAACTAACCCTTGGGGCAGGAGGGTGGGCTCAGGAAGGCATCAAGAAGGGCTGCAAGGAGCAAGGAAGCCTGGAAATCCCTTCAAGCCCCTGGGAGACCCCTGTGGGAATGCGGCTGCTGGTGTTGGAGGTGCAGGGGGCCCTCTGGCTGGCGGACAGAAGGGGGAACGGGGCATCCACCCACTGGGGTGGGGAGGGCGGGTCCCTTGTGGCCACAGCTGCCCCTGGCTCCCACCAGCTGGAGGAGAGGGAGACAGTTCATCCAGTGCGAGCCCGGAGCCCAGTGTCAGTCTCTGGCCTCGTGAATTCCCCCATTCCCCTGTCACCTACACATGGTGCCCTGGAAGGAAGCTGGTTTCCTAGGAGACCCCTGCCCACAACCACCAAACCCAGCCCCAAACACATACACGGGAGGCGGGGAAGAGGAAGGGCAAAAAAACCTCACCCACAGACAGCAGAGATTTCAATACAATCTATATTATCTCATATATATATTTCTTACTTTATTTGCTCACTTCTGTCACGCATTTAAAATGTCACAGAGACCAAAATAGAGCGGCTTTCTGGTGGAACTCATGGCAGTCATACACGAGATACAAAACTAGGGGACTCTGTCCTCTCATACATCATACAGTTCAGTTTTCAAGTATTTTTTATGTACAAAGAGCTACTCTATCGGGGGAAGGGATTAAAAAAAAAAAAAGGTTATGCATCCTAGGAAGGAAGGGTGGAGTGGGTGGGCACCCGTTCCCGGCCCCTCAACTCCCCGGGGGCCACTAGCTCCCTGTCCCAGAGCCCCTCCTCTGTGTCCCCCCACGAACCATGCTAGCCAGCAAGTGCCAGGGCAGCCAAGACAAGGGGGCAGGGAGTCGGCAGCACACTTTGGCCTGGAAGGAGAATCACACAAATCTATGAAAGCAAAGTGGGGAGTGGGGACCGAGGATCTCCCCAGACAGCCTGCTCCCACCTGCCACCTTCCTGGGCAGCTTGGTACCAGCTGGCCAGACCCACCAGATCGGCCCCAAGAGCCAGCCTCCAGCCCGCCCCCCCCAGGCCTCTGTGACCCCGAGGCGGGGGGTGGGGAGCCAGCTTGGTCACAAGGGCCAAGGGCAGCCTGGGAAGACAACAGGGGTGTAATCCCCCACTGGACCCTTGGCACATTCATTCCAGGAATGAACGGAAAGGAAGAGAAGTTCTGGTGCCACAGGGTGGGGCCCTCCTCACCCTATGACCTTCCCCAGGCTGTCCGGGCCCAAACCCAAGTGCCCTCTGGGTTCCGAAAGACAGAACACACACTGTGACTGTCAGGAGGCTCCTCCTAAGACAGTGGCCAGTCTAAGCCCAGCCTGCCTGGGGACTCTGGCCACGGAGGCTCCGGGAATTTAGGTGTGGAGGTGAGCGAGGGGAGGGGACTCGCCATCCTGGCCATCCCCTAAGGCCTGTCCAGGGTGCTTGGCCCAGCGCAGCAGGGTCCCCTGAGTGCCAGCAGCTTGAGAGGGAGCCCCCAGGGAGTGTCTGCGGCCAGACAGACCGAGGGCCCGGGACAGGGGAGCTTTCGTATGTGACTAAGGCACAGAAGAGATGGGCCGAGGGGCCAGCCGAGGCAGGACTCCAGGCCGTGTGTGGATACGGCGCCAAGGGAAAGGAGTCTGGGGTCACTCCTCCCACTTCTCAGCTCCCGGCTGCACGCCCCCTCCTTTCGCCTCCCTCCCGTAGGGCTGCTCCTCCAAAAGCTGGTCTGAAATGTGGAGACTCAGACCCTTCCCCTGAAACGGGAAGGAGCAGCCCTAGGGCAAGACCAGGACCCTGCGGAGGTTCTCACTGCTTAGCCTGGGAAAGGGGCTGGGAGCCTCCAACCCCTTCAGCAGCCAGGAAGCAACAAGGGCTCTGCCCAAAGTGCTCTCGAGAAGAAAGACCCTGAGGGACAGGGCAGTGCGGGCCGCTGGCTGCCCTCAGCAGGTCAGGAGGAAGGGGCGAGGCAGGCAGGGAGGGCAGCCACGGAGAAGACAACTAGGGGCCCAGAGACCCCTGCTACGAGAGGGCCTTGTCAACAGAAGAGGGGCCCAGATGCACCCGAGCTCCCTTCCAACATGGGACACGTGGCTCTTGGTGTCCCTCTGGTCCTTGCAGCATGCCAGGCAAGCCTGGGTCAGGAGGGGGCGCGGGGAGCATCTGGGTTCCCTCCCACCCCTCTGGCCGAGGCTGAGGCTAATCTAGCACGGACAGGAGACACAAGGGAGGGAGCAGGCAGGAAAGAGCCCAGGTCAGAGTATTGCACGGTGCTGGGGGTGGGGCTGTCAGTCTCAGGGGGAAAAGAGGGACCCACGTCGGGGCTGAGAGGGCCATGGCCGCGGGTCCACCACGGCCACAGCTGGTCCCACCAGGCCGCTGTGGCAGGACAAGCCATAGGGGCACAGGAGTCGCCCCCAGCATCCTCCGTCCCTCGCCCGGCAGCAGGGCTGGCCACGCGTGAACAGTCCGGAAGGCCCCCGTGGTGAGCCCGGGTTGTCCCCTGGGCCCACAGCTTCCGGCTATTCCTCTGGGAGCGACAGGTGAGTGTTTCCGGTCCAATAAATTAATGGGCAATGCCAAAGCTGTGCCAGCCTGCCTCCCCGCCCGCGCGTGGGACCGGAGGGGGGCATGCCCTGCCCTGGGCCGTGGGGCCAGTCCTCCCCACCAGCAGCCGCACCTAGAACTCATCATCGGAGCTAAGCAGCAGAGTCTTCTCGTTGTCGCGGGCGCCACTGAGGCTGTGGGAGCGCGAGAGGCTGTGGGCGCCACCGCGCCACGCAGGCCCGGGCTCCAGGGTGGACTGCTGCGTGTACTGCTGGTAGGCGGGCGAGAAGTTATGGATGGCGTCCTGCACGATGTCGTGTGGGTTCATGGTCTCCTTGAGGCTGCTGGAGATGCTCTTCATGGGGGCACAACGGCCTGCAGGGTAGGAGCCCAGAAGCGGGGGTTAGGGGCAGGGAGGCCCCGGTCCTGGGACCGAGCGCCACCCCAAGGCCGTGTCACCCGACAGAGAACAGGGTCCCGGGCATCAGGAGGCACAGGCAAAGAAACGGCTCTCTGGCTGGGGCGCAGAAGACAGGTGAGCAGCCGTCGGGGGCTGGTAAGTGTGGCTGGTGGGAAGGGACCCAGGGTGGAGAATGGCATGCCCCAGGGAGGATGCAGTGTCGGGGAGGGGTCCACCCAGAGAGCTAGCCCTGCCCCCTACCCCTGGGGGCCCCTTTTGCTCTGGCAGGACAGGCAGCCAACCCCCCCTCCCGCCTCCCCCCGCCTCCGGCACCCACAGTGGAGTGCCCTGCAAATCCTCACCGGCTCCCCTCTGAGAGGGCAGAAGCCCTCATGTGCTTCTCCTAACTTCCCCTCTAAGGAACTCTCCCTCCATGGGTTCAGTAGGGAGAAGTGGCCCCAGACTCAAAACCAAGGTGGGGGACAAGTCCTGGTCTTCCAATTCCAATCTGGCGGGCCTTTTCCACCTTCGTGTTCTCCGCCATGGATTTCCCATTAACACGCACTGTGCCCCAGGAACCCAGCGGGCGTATTTCAGAACACTGAGAGACCAGGACGGAAGCAGGCAAACTCTAAGGGGGGGGGGTGGGCAGCCCTTGGCAGGCAGGGCCTCTGAGCTCTGCTGCCTGGGGGTGCCTTGGTGGGGAGAGACAGGAACACAGAGAAGGGACTAGGGAGAGAGACATGCCGGTGACGGTGACCACGACTGACGTGCAGGACAGACGTGTAGACCGGGAGCAGAACCTACCGTAAGGGCCGTATGTTGGCACTGCCCGCGGCCAAACCCGGGGCAAAAGCAGGGCGGAGGGGGGAAGGGGAAGGAGAGAGAAGCCAGAGAAATAGAGAAGACAAGAGACAGCTGAGTGACACCATCTGCCCACCACCAAGGCCTGCACACCGTACCAGACCCACTTCCCACCCGACCCAGCACCCAGCAGCCCCAGCGGCCCCCTCGGAGCCCGGCACCCAGTGGGCGATGGGGGTGGGGGACGGCACGTCCACTCAGGGATGACCCCTCCCACAGGGCTCACGCTCTCATCCAGGGGGACAGGAGAGCCACCAGCAGACACACAGGACATTGATCGTGGTCCCATTTCTACACCTAAGTCGTGGCCCAGCACCCCCACTTCTCTTCAGGCTTGGCTGGAATGGCTAAGCCAGTGCCCCGCGCTTTACAAACCTCGTGACACTTCACAGATGAGGAAATCAAGCTGAGGGGTGAGGGGGCGTGGCGCCCTGTATAGATACCCCCAAGCTTTTCCCCAGGAGGGCTGGGCTGGGGTCTCTGCCAGAGCTGGGTTTCTGGCCACGCTGTTCTTTTCTGGGCTGGTGGTCCAGGAGCATCGGGTGGGAAGATACAGCCTAGGTGTCCACTGGGCCTCTGCAGAGCCCCCACACGTGACATTTTAAACCCCGAGGATCCAGAAAGGGTTCTCTGCTATGGCCCCAGGCTCCAGGCACAAGGGTGACTTTCCTAAGGATGCAGGCTCTGTTGGGACCAGGTTCACGGGACATCGTGCTCAGCACTGGGTGGGTGTTTGCAGATCTGAGGACCTAGTGGGAAGCGCGTGGGACAGCAGCTGGCAGCAGCAAGGCGGCCGGTACCAGGGAGGTGTGCGATCACAGACGGAAGAAGGGGTACCGCCAGCCCTCCGCCAAGTGTGTCGGGAGAACACAGCTGGGCACCCAAGAGCTGAGCGGCCTGGAGTGCCGGCCCGTCCACTAGTGGCCAGCAGGTCTCTTTCCAGTCAGGGAGAGGGCCGAGGGGTCCGCTGCGGCACCCCACTCCCCGGGGCCTGTGGTGGGCTTCGGGGCGAGGCCTAGGAAGTGGGGTTCTCGTCTCTGGCCACAAGGAAGGCAGCCAGCAGCAGCCCAGCCCCTGGGTGGGTGTGTCAGAGCAGGACCCTCCAAGGCCCACCCACCTCCCCACCGGAGAAGTCATTTCAGGCATTGCCGGCCTCCACTTCTGCCCGCCGTGACCATCTGCTCTCTGCCCAGGAGCAGCCCAGAGGCCGTTCCCTCCACTGGGCGGAGCTGGGAAGGTCCCTGCCACCGTTGGAGCCCAGACCACTTAATGCCGAATCTGGGAGGTGGGGCGTGCACAGGAGGGACTGACAACGCCTCTCCGGGGCATCCTAACGTACAACCGGGGTTGCCAATGTCTTCGAACAAGGAGGCAAACAAGCGGGCGTAAAAAGCAAGCTGTTAAAAACGGCCTGTCGGACACTGTGGCAGGAGGGCCCTAGGGAGGGCCTGGGAGGGCTTCGCCCGCTCTGTGGGGGGTGGTCATCTCGACGCTGGCTCATACCTTGCGCATCCAGCCTCTTGTCAGCGTAGACCCTGTAGGTGAAGGCGTGCCGCAGGGCCAGGGCTGCGAAGAACATCTCCACGCAGATGATGAAGTCCTGGTAGCCGGCGGCCACGGTGCCCTCGCCCACGGACACGCGGGCCGAGTGGATCTTGGGAATGGCCCCACACTTCTCCAGGATGGCCAGAAGCATGCCTGGAAGAGGAGGTGTGGGCATGTGGCCCTGGAGCGGACCCCTGGCCTGTTGCTCCTTCTACATGCAGCCCCCACCCCACCAATGCCACACCCACCAACAAGGACAGCAGCGGGGCCCACGGTCGCCCGGGGGGGGCTGAGATGCTGACACCAAGCTGAGGCGTCTGGGAAACCCCACCCCGCCAGCTCCTTGCTGGCCACCAACTCCGGGGGTCCCTTGGATCCCCATCCATGAGTCAGCCCCATGGAAGGTTCCCCATGGCTCCTGTGAAAGGCTCCTGAGGGCCTAGACATTCCACCCAGGAGGCCCCAGTGGACAGAAGTCTGGGCTCTAGGCTGGGATGGCCCAGAGACAACACAGGCCTTACAGAGGCTGGGAAGAGGCTCACCTTGCCAGAAGGAGAGAAAAATGACGGACTTGACCATGAAGAACTTGAGGACGGGGCTGTAGGGGCTAAGCAGGTCCCGGGTGGCAAAGTAGAAGAGGAAGAGGGCGTAGAGGGCCAGGCTGACAGAGATGTTGTAGATGATGGTCACGTAGAGGTAGCCGCTGGTGACACTGGGGGAACGGGGAGTGTTCTCTGGCTTGGACAGAGCCTTTGGAGGGACAAAAGGCCTCCCTCCCGCCTCTGCCCAGCCAGTATGCCAACCCCCATGGTTCTCAGCAAGGTTCCCCAAGCAGTGCTCCATGAGCCACTGAAGAAGGGACCTAAGTGGCCAAGAAGCAGGGAGCGGAGGGGAGGTGTGCAAGCGTGTGCCCACGGTGAAGGCCAGCCCTGTGCCTCTGCTCCGGTGCCCGGGCTCCTTGTGGGAACCCGGACATTGAAGCCACCAGCACCAGGGGGCTCAGCCCGATGGTCCAGCAACAGGGATGAGAATGACGTAGAGCCTGGCTCTGCTTTTCTCTTGAACAAAGTTCTGTCGCCCTCCAGGCCTCAGATGCTCACCTGCCCTGGCGGGGCTGTCCCGTGGGGTACAGGTGGCACGGGGCCGGGGTGTGGTCCTGTTCACTAGCCCCCCAAAACAAAAGATGTCCACATGGGAGAAGCCTTCTCCTGGGGACTCAAGCCAGGCCTCTCAGGGCTCTGACCTTCTAGCTCCCTACCTTGGGAGTGGTCACTACCCCCAGGCACCAGCCTGTGGGCTGTCCCTGAGGGTGACGAGGGCTGAGGGCTGGCTCCTGTGCCAGAGGCGGGGCCAAGCAGGACGATAATCACCTCCAGGCTTGGGCCTTGCAGCTTAGGGATGCGCGGGGGCATGAGGAGGGACGGGCCACCCTCGGCCTCCCCTCAGAGGAAGGTCAGGGGCATGGGGCCAGTCTGCAGGCACCCCCTTCCCTAAAGCGGGGCGTCACAGCCTCGGGGCAAGGCCACCCACCCCCACCTCTCAGGGGGCCCCCGCTGCTTACTCAAAGTCGCCATCCCGGTACTTGCCAAAGGCCTGGAGGACCACGGTGCTGACAGCCATGAGTGGCTTCACCACGCAGAACTGCAGGGTGGCCTGTCAGGGGAGAAGGTCAAGAGTTGGGGACGAACAAAGAAACTGTGTGGCGAGCCCCTCCTCTGTCCTCTGGCCAGGAGAGCCTGTGCTGGATGCTGGGGGTGGGGATGGGGGTTGTTCTGATGTCCTGTCCCGAGGGGACTGCCGTGTGGAAGGGAGGCAGAAGCTGTGAAGGGACAGCTGTACAATGTGGCCGTGTGAGCAGACGGGAGAAGGAAGGACGAAGGATGGCCGCTGGGGGGACAGACGAGCGCAGGACAGGGGAGCCCGCTGGAGGGCTTCTCACAGAAGGGGTCAGCAGGAATGTGCCAGAGACACACCAGGGACAAGCAGAGGGAGGCGCTCCTACCAAGACCGACAGGCTGAGAGCAGACACGGGGCAAGGGGGTAGATGCTGGTGATGGAGGGCAGCAGGAAGGGGGCCAGGGCCCTTCTCAAAGCCTCCTCCTGTCCTCCTTTGTCCACCCCTGGGGTCTCACTGGGGCTGGAAGGGACCTCCAGGAGCACAAGAAAGGAGGCAGCTCAAAGCACAAGGTCTGGGATCCTGAATCTGAATCTGAATCCTGGCTTCACCCGTTACCATCTGGAGAAGGTCACGTGAGCAGTCACGTAGCCTCTGAGCAGTCACCTCACTAACAAATGGACGTAACCAGCCCCACATCGCAGGGCTGAAGACCACGGCAGTGTCTGTTGTTCAATGAAGGCCTCCACTGGCCCACTCAGCCACTGGAAGGATTCCTAAACCAGGTTCTCACAGTGCCCTCCAGAGGCTCCAGTAAAGTCAAGGACAACCCACGGTGCCCAGAGAGCCAGCAAATACACCAGGCTCTTGAAAATCATGTCTAAGCCGTAAGGCCCCTTCCACGGCGGGGGAGCAGCTTGAAAAGGCTGAGCCACTGTGGCTCCAAGTCAGGCAAAGATCCTGGGGCAGAGGAAGTAACCCGTTGACCCCAACGTTTCTGCCCCACTGGGGACCCAAGTGCAGTCTGTGAGGTTTCCCCATGGGCCCTGGGCTGTGCGTGGAAGCACGTGTGATGGAGCGCAGAGGTCAATGCTGCCACCAAGAAAGCCCCCCAAATTCCCCGGCCCCACCACCTACCTTGAGGGAGCGGGACCAGTGTCTGGGGCAAAGGAAGGAGGCGCGGGCATTAAAAGCCTGCCCACAGGCCGCCGCCGTCCTGGTCAGCTGGGCGTACAAGGGCCCCCCCTACAAAGCACTGTGACAGCTGAGGAAACCGAGGCACGGAGGGGCAGAAGAGGCGGCATCAGCAGGCCCCACAGCCTGCACCCAACCACAGCCCTGGATCAGGTGGGGAACCAGGCAGCAGTTCCCCAGCCAGGAGGGGGTTCAGAACCACCTGCAGAGCTGTAAACCCCGCCCCGGGGCCAGAGCTACAGGCCAGACCTTCTTCATCAGCCTGGGGGCTGCGGAGAGGGGGCTGGCTGACCAGAGGATGGCTGTGCACCAGCTCTCCGGGAGAGTCAGATCCTGGGGGCCCCTGGCCCAGGCTTTCTCAGGAGAAAGCAGCAGAGAGGAAGCAGCGCTCTCCCAAGGGAAAGGGATGCAGAGGCCGCTTTAATCCTGTCCTCTTACTACCTCCCCGTGCCGCTTCCAGAACAGCAGCAGGACATCCGAACCCACAGGGCCTGGGGAATCATTTATAACCAGAGTAGCAAGCTAGTGATCATGGGATCAAAACTCTGTACACAACATACCCATCAAAGAAGGCGGTGAGTCACAGCTGGGCCCAGGGCGGCTGAAAGGCTGGTAAACAAAGGCTCTGGAAGGCCCCACCCACCCCGACCCCGGAGACACTTTTAACTCTTTGCCTCCAGGCCCAGTAGGGAGATTGTGAATGGAGGAACGCCCAGGGGAAGGCAGAGCTGGAAGCTGGCCTGTGGCGTAGACCCGGGTGTAGACCCGGGTGTAGACCCGGTCCGTCCAGGTAGGTGCTTCCAGGTAGGTGCTACGTGGGTGTGCCCGCACTGCGGGCGGTGTCCCTACACAGAAGGGAGTGGAAAGGCCAGCCCTCTGGTGGCCAGGGTCATCAGCTGCAGTGACTACTCTTGGTGACCCAGAGGTCCCAGCAGGGGCAGACTCTCCCTCCCGTACAAGAGTGGGGTCTGTGCTGACTGCTTCCCATCCATCCCCCACCTGGGCCTCGTGCCAACCCTCGAGGTCAGTATCGTTCCGCCTGCTTTACAGAACAAGGAAACCAAGTCACGCTCAGGAAGCTATTACATAACCTCGCCAGGGTCACCCAGTCAAGAGGAAAAGCTGAAAATCAAACTCAGATGGTCGGACACCCGGGCCCAAGTACTTCACCACAACCCCGCGCGGCCTCCGCCCAGCTCCTGGAGACCACAGGGGAGGCAGCAGAGGAAACCGGAAGCTGGTGGAAATGGGGAACAGACCAGAGACCCGGCAGGCCCGTCGAGCTTTCACACAGAAGCACTCCTGACCTCTAGCTGCAGCTGAGGAGGGGTTTCAAGCTGAGCCTCTAGAATCCCCGCGCCTCCTCATTCTCGCACACACACACCAAGGCCCGCCTGGTGGAAGTGAGCAGGAATGGGACCACCTCCTGCCCGGGGCTGCCACAGACCCTCTCAGGACCCTGTTGCTGCCCCTTGGAGCACGCTCGGCTCATGCACGCGTGCCTAACGGCATGGGGTGTGGGTGCCCGGCCTTCGCGTAGTTCACGGGGTATGGGAACTCCGCAGGTGGGCTCCTCTGGCCCTAAGCCTGCCTCTGCCGCCGGATGAGCAGGGGTGGCTCCCAGGCTCTGGGACCCTGGCCTGGACCCCTCAACCAGGGCCGGTGCAGGAACACGCACCTGCTTGCAGAACCGGAGGAATCCAATGGAGTAAGTCTTTCCCCAGAGGCAGCACGTGCCGTACATACAGCTGGACCTGGAAGAGACAAGCGGAGGGGAGGCTAGAAGGCAGACAGCCAGGATTCGGGGAAGGTGGGGCTGGGGGAGGGCGCCGTCCCTCACATCCACACGAGCCCGGGGAGAGCAGACCGGGGCTGGGAATGGGGCACAGAGTTCAGGCAGCCTTCGCCCGGAGGCCAAGCACTCGGGGAGAGTCTGCACTGGTGGTGGTGGGAGGTCCGGGGTGGGGGGCATCAGGGCACCAGCCTGGACACAACAAACCAACCTGCCAAGTGCTGAGTGGAAAGACTACAAGAGGGAAAAACAGGCAGACAGGAGGGGACAGGAGGAGAAAAAAGGAGTAAGAGCCGGTGAGACTGTCCCCATGGTCGCTCGGGAAGGGAGGAGAGGCACCACAGGGCCAGGTTCTGGGCAGGGTCGGTCTGTGTGTCCGGCTGATACCAGGACAGCTCGAAGACCCTCAGGCCCAGGAAACAGGGTGCTGTGAGGGCTCCAGGGAGACCAAACTACTCACTCGATGGGCTTCCCTCTGATCTCCGACATGATGGAACTTTCTCCCCCAAGGTATTCGTAGCACAGGCTCAGGAAATTATAGATGACCAGGGCTGTGAGAGATGTCCAGAGAAAACCACTCAGACCAGCAGGCTGGGCAAACAGATGGTGGGATTCTAAACAGCCACAAGAGTGGAGGCACCACGGTCACGGGGCCGCAGGGACGCAGGGACCCACACAGAGAATATTCCAATGGTCACCAAACCAGGCAAAGCTGAGTCACGCTGTGTGCGGTATGTGCACGTACGCTGCTGGTCACCCCGTAAAGCGACACACGGTGATAAGCACGAAGTTCCAGATTGCAGGGGGAGACAGGGCTGGGCTCGCTGGGGGCTGGGGAGCACATTCTGGGGCTCAACAGGTACCGGCTTTGTTACTGTGTGCGTGTGTGTGCGCGTGTGTGTCTTACGGATCAGAGTTTTACAACAAAACAATAAAACATTCTCTGGAGGGATCTCAGGAGAAATTTTCAGCAGGAACGAGACAGGACAACCTTTGTCCATTCAACCACCCAGAGGGGCAGGTTAGTACGCACGCCAGTAGAGGCTCTGGGGTGGCAACGAAGGTCACAAAATCAAGCACAAATGTGCGGGACAGCTGGGCCAGCTCTGTCCGGATGGGGCTCGACGGCACCACAGAGACACAGCTCTGCAGCAGCAACAGGCAGCACCAAGGTACGCTGTCAACGCTAGACCACAGCACGCCGAGAGGACTTCTACGGGTCAGCAAGATGAAGGCTGCGGCCTGCAGGGTGCCAAGAGCAAGGACGGGGAGACTGGAGAGCAGGAGTACCGCAGAGGCCGCCGGAAGGCAAGGGCACCGGAGGAAGCTCAGGCCGAGAGCATGGGAACTCGAGGGGGCAGCAAAGGAGTGAGGGTCCAAGTGGGGTCAGGGGACAGGAAGGGCAAGGGAAACAGCGGCGACCCTGCAGACAGAGGGCTCCTTACCTGATCCTGCTGTCCCCCCTGTCGCATAGAGGCCCTCACAGGTCCAGGTACAGCCCTGACCTTGGCATTCGAGATTTTTCCACAGTGACTTGGCCCCCGCCCACTCCCCACATGGCCTTCCCGGGGAACTAGATGCCCCTCTTTCCCTGTAGGTTATGACATCCTCCATGTGCTTCCCTTTGCTGATTCCCATGGCCTGGGGTACCCCTCCCTCTGTGTTGCTGGCGTCCTTGAAACCCATGAGACCCCCTGAGAGTCTCTGGCCCCTTTCATGGAGGCTGGCACGTTCTCACCCAGGGAACCACTGACCTACAGATGCTGGGCCGTGTTTCCTGCCCCGGGGCCTGGCTAGCATGATCCCTGACCACTCCCACGGGACTGCAGCCCCTGGAAGGGGGCCCACCTCCTCCCCAGAGCATGGCCACAGCACTCGGCACACACCTGGCACACCACGACCATGGGGCTACCTTGAGCTGGAGAGCATGCGATCCCGGCGACAGATCTATGGGTGAACGCGGGCCTTCAGTGGTTTGGGAAGGAGTATGTTTGCAGTGTGGTATACCTAACCCATCAGGGGCTCACGCTTCCAGCTAAAGTTGGGGGTTCCAGGTAGCACCCCATCTCAGCATGACCCACGGCACCTACCACATGGTACTGTGACTATCTGTCTACAGATGTAGTAGAGGGTTTGCCCCCCATTAGCTGGGAGCCTTTCTGTGCCTCAGTCTCCTCATCTGTTAGATGGAGACAACAGAGGCACCTACCCTGCCAGGTGGTATGAGGTTTGAGTACCCAAAGTACTCCGAAGAGTGGCTGGCCTTAGTCGTGCCCACTAGACGGCCACTACTATTTATCTGCTGGTCTTCCTCGGGGGCCAGGGTCCCCCAATGGGGCCTGCGGACGCTGCCTGCCTGGCCTGGAAGCAGCTCGGAAAACGTGGGGACTGCGGCAGTCTCCACTGAGCTCCAAAGCACTCTTCAGTGCTGAGAACTCTGGGGCACTGGGGCCGGGGGGGAGGCATCAAACCAAATCTGATGTCAGCCTGCTGACCACCTTTGTCCGAAACCACACGAGGCCAAGTAGGATGGACATGCCCGTCCCAAACTGGCTCCAGCTACACGGTGGCCAGTGGTACCTTCCAAAGATGGCCACACCCTGGGATGCTGGCTCCCCTCTGCGGGGGACATAGGGTCTTCCTCCCTCCCTCCCTCTGCATCCAGGGGGAGCCCGGGGTGACTACAGCACAGGTGCTGCTCCAAGACCTCTGACACTGGACTTCGAGAAGGCCTCTTTCCTCTGCTTCTTTCTCTTGAGATGCCTGTCCTCCGATGCAGCCCCCCTGCTCTGAGGGAGCCCAAGCCAGCCCACGTGGAGACACTACCCAGAGTGGCTCAGGTGGGAGGACCTGAGGCCCCAGCTGATGCCAGCAACAAGTGCCAGACACACAAGCGCACCAGACTGCAGACACCACACCCCCAGCTGAGGGTCCCCCAGCTGAGGGTCCCCCAGCTGAGGGTCCCCCAGTGGAGGCCCAGACAGCAGGGCACAGGGACAGACTACCCGCACAGTGCCCCGTCCACTTTCCTGGACTGCATTGTCCGTGAACAAAAGGAATGGTCGTTTTACACTAGTCTGGGTGATTATGCAGCCAGAATAAATGCATACGTACACGTGTGTGTGTGTGCACGTCTACATGACATCTCTACGTATATGCACATACATCCGCATGATATAACACCACTCTGAAAGTTCCCAGGATGCACCAGGAGCTCTCACACCTCCCATGCTAGCATGTTCTGGGGCCTCTGCTAAGGCTCAGGGGCAGGCCCTGCTGAGACACCCCCTCTCCCTTGTCCACAGCCAGGCTCGCTCCACACTCCACAACCCCGCCGTTGATCCGGCCGAGTCTTCCCGTATAGAGGGGGGCAGTGTCACACCAAGCAGGGAAGCCCCGGACCCTGGAGCCAGACTGCCAGCAGGTGTGAATGGTGGCTCCGTTGCTTCCTAAGTGTGCTGTGCCACGGTTTCCTCACCTGCAGGCCGGGGTAATAGCAGCTCCTTCCTCGAGGACAAGGGCGAAGTGCGACTCCTTCGCTAAGGCTGAGCTCACACGGAACAACCCATGCCGCAGTACCCAGTGTTCTTTCCAGACTGTCAACTCTTTGCCAGCCTGCCTCGGACTACTGGAGGGCCTTAACTCGGGGTGCGGCTCGGAGAGGCCCGCGCTCCTTTCTCGCCCGCAGAGCCCATCCTTCCGCATGCTGCGCGGACCAGACACGAGTCCCGAAATACGGACCTCTCAAGAGAAGCCCCAGGGGCCAAGGTTCATCATTCCCCTTGTCCAGAGCCATTCTCCCAAGCCAGGCCATCTTGCAAGCCACTGCCGTGAGCAGCTTGACTCCTGAGCTCACATCCTCTCCTGCGTCACGACAGACGTCAGCACCCGCCTGAATAACAGGGCCGAGCAGTCTGTCCCTGTCGAGCCCTGCACTCAACTGGCCAAAACCCTCCCATGGCATCCGTATCTCTCAGCTCAAGGTTCTGGACTTTTCCCAGTGCTCCTGGCCCAGCCCATCAGTAAGATACCGATTGGCTGACGGCTTCCTTTAAAGAATCATCAGTGAGTCAGTAACATGTTCTCAGAGAAGGGAGACAAAGTACGACTATCCTGGAGATGACTCAAACAGCCCACACCAGCACCCACTGACCATCTGGACAAATCAATCCCCTCCCAGGAAATTACTGAGCCAGGCAAAACACGACCCCCACCCCAACAAGGCTGTTTACAATAGACAACTCAACGCACACCCTGGGAAGAAACACGAAGACACACGGCCCGGGCACAAGAAGACGGCACCCGCTGGGTTGGAGGCCAGTGGTGGAGTGTGGTTCTTGGCTAGCAGCTTGGTGCCTGACTGCCCCTCGGACCACAGCTCCGGGCTGCTCCCCCGAGGGGCCCCAGAGACATGGAATGATTCTTTGCCTCCCTAAGTACTAACCACAGCCTGTGTGCCAGGCTCCGTGCTAGGCCCTAGGGATATATGAGTGCCCAAGGGACCCACCGACCAGGCCCTCCGGTTTAGAGGGGAGCATCCAGAAGAGAAGGGATGATCTTTCTGTCTCTCTCTCCTGCCCTGGACAATGGAACTTTCTGTTCCATTCTAGATACTAAACCTTAAAGAATTATTTATTTTAGAGGGAAGAGGAAGAGGGACAAAGGGAGAGAGAGAATCTCAAGCAGACTCCCCACTGAGCACCAAGCCCAATTCAGGCTCAATCCCACGACCCTGAGATCATGACCTGAGCCAAAGCCAAGAGCCAGATGCTTATTAGCCAACTGAGCCACCCAGGCACCCCCTAGATACCAAGTCTTAAATGGATTAGAAACAAATGCACAAAATCAGGAGCAACTGACCAAAATGGGAGATGAAATGAGTATCATACTAAAGCCTTGAGGCCTGGAGAAAAGACATCAGGGTTACTGTCTTCACATAAGGGGCACGACCTTGTCCAGAGGATCAGACAGGACCCATCTGGTCCCAGAGGCAGATCCTAGGCCTTCAGCCTAATAAAAGAAACAACGGCCAACAGGCCGTCTTCAGAGATGCAAGGTAGTGAGCTCTGTGCCGGGGGAGCACGCCATCAGAGGCCAGGGGGACCTTAGCAGAGAGGCTGAGTCTTTACAGGTCCCTTCTGACCCTGAGACTCGAGACCTTCTTTCCTCACTGGCAGCATCTCTAACCCACAGCTGCCTGGACTGCCCGGACAGTCCAAAGGGCCACCCTCTACCCAGCCTCCCCCACAACAGGCACCCGCAACAGCACAGCCCCAGGGAGCCCCCAGGGCTTCAGAGAGGATCCACCAAAAAATGCACTCCAGCTGTCCCAGCCCGCAGCTCCCGGAGTCAGAAGTCCTCACAAGCAGGTCAGACAAGGACACCTGTCTGTTCATTCAATAACCCCTCCCTGGACCCTGGCCGGGTGCCACACCCTGGGCGCAGAACCTCAGTGGCCCTGGGGGCCACTGGCCATTCCTAGCTCGCTCCCCCCACATGCCTTCTGCACCTATAGCTGGCCCCTAGTCCTGGCCTTCTCAGCCGCCCACAAACACTTTGGTTATCTCGGAAGACGTGGGGGCATTCCACGTGGCAGGTAACTCGAGGATGAGCTCAGAAAACTTAATTTTGACTACTTTGGACAGAGATCTTCTGTGCTCAGTGAATAGGGGCCTCAGAACAAGCTTCCCTCTCTTTTTCTGGGATCACCAGGGACAGCAATGGACACAGTGGGCCACAGCCCTGGTGGGCCGGGGTCTGCCCCAAGCTGCTTTAATCCCTCCTCCCTCGTGACCTGTCTACCCTCATCGATCCTGCCTATGGCTGTTTCCTGTCACCCAGATCACTGTTCCTGATGCCTTTTCTGATTGGTTTCCTCTCTATACCTTCCTTTGTTCCGACCAACTGCGCTGTCAGTGCCGGGGCCCACGGCAGCACCCCGGCCTTCGGGGCTCGAGCGGCCCTGCGTCTGCGGCGCTCGGCTGGGTTCCGTTTACCCCCGCTGTCCTCTCTCTCTGCCTCAGACGATGCTTCATGTTGGGCCAGATTCCAGGCAATGAGGTTTGTCCAAAATCTGAAGCAAGGTGAAGGCAGCCTCCTTCTTTAACTGTTTCATGGAAACTCTCCTCCTAACAGAGCCCGTGCTCCTCCAGGAGGAGGACGCGGGCCTGCCCTCCTCCGCCCGGCCTGACGCGAGCCATTCTGGGGACCCAGAGACCCAGGGCTGCGTCTGGCCTCTGGCAGCGACTCTCTAAGTAATCCTAAATTTCTTTTTTTTTTTTTTAAAGATTTTTTTTTTTTTTTTTTATTTGTCAGAGAGAGAGGGAGAGAGAGCAAGCGCAGGCAGACAGAATGGCAGGCAGAGACAGAGGGAGAAGCAGGCTCCCTGCCAAGCAAGGAGCCCGATGTGGGACTCGATCCCAGGACGCCGGGATCATGACCTGAGCCGAAGGCAGCTGCTTAACCAACTGAGCCACCCAGGCGTCCCCTAAGTTTCTTAGCCAACTCGGTCTTTTCTTCACGAGTACAAGTGAGGATGGTAATACATCCACCAGCTAACTGGGAGGTGAGAATGAGCTAAGAGTAAGGAAAAACATGCGGGAAAACGAACACCACAAAAAAAGCATTCACAACGCAGTTCCTGTGTGAGGCGACAGTGCAGTCAGTCTCCCTCCTCCGAACTCCAGCCCTCTGCACCCCTCTGATCACAGAGCTCCCTGGGGCTGTCCCAGAGACATCTCTAGGGGCTACCCCTTGCCCTGAGCATGATCATACGCTACCTGCGTGCAGGGGACTTGGTCTGCCCTCCTCTATTTACCTGCCCCGATGACTCGTCCTCGCACCACACGGAGTACAGACCTTGCCAGATGGTAGAAACTTCTCTGAGACTCAGCCTCTCCTTAGAAGACAGCAATCCTGCCACCAAATTGCAGGGTTTAGTGTTACTTGCTCCCCCACTGCCCTGCTGGAAGGCAAACAAATGGGGGAGGTACAAACCTTCGCGCACAAGGGGCCAGCACCAGGGGCAGCAGACCAGAGATGCTGACCACACTCTGGAAGATGCAACGTGGTCACAGACTCAGGAAGGGAGGGAGCCAATGAGATCCCCAGGAAAGCCCAAAACCGGACACACCGGACATCCTGAAGGCTAAGGGTGCAAATGGGAGCCTCAGCTCCAAGTCTCCATGTGGAGCTACTGGGTTTCCACTCTTAAAACAGATGTAGACAGTTCTGTCCTGGGAGAACATGGCTCAGCGGAGGGCAATGAGGTCATATGCACAAGTGCATGAGGCCTAAACGCGAAAGGCGAGATGCTGGGTCCCATGGCCGAACTGCTCCGTCAACTCAGCCTGGAGATGAGAACACTGTTCTCCAGGGAAACAGACCCAGAATCAAAACATCCTCGTTGGGTACCTACCCTTACCGCTGCACAAAACTGGCGGGGTCACATCACGTGCCCCATCACCCAAATGGGAGGTTCAGCCATCTTGAGCCCCATTCTTAAACACCAAAATAGCCAAGGACACTAGACATTTGAGGAGAACTTCCGACACAAAGGTCAAAGACCAAAGCCAACAGATGAAAGGAACTCTAGGAGGCTGAGATAAGGCAGGGAGCAGAAGAAAACTGTATTCAGCATCCCCAGAAAGAGGAGATACTCCGCCCAGTACCAACAATGGGGGCTCAAAACAAACAAACAAACAAACAAAAAACCCTCCTGAAAAGCAGAACAAAAAAGGAGGTGGAAAATTCAGCTCCATTCATAAGTGCAACGACCTACAACAGGAATTCCTGAATGGCAGGATGAAGTGGAGGGGAAGAAATTATGAAAGAAACATACAAGAAAACTTCCCAGAACCTCAGGGCGGGAGCTTCCACATGGAGAGGGCCCAGGGGGTGCCCCACACGAGGAATAAAGAACCCACCACTTGGGGGATTCTACAACACTGGGGGTTAAGGCAAGATCCTCAAAGAGCAGGTCACATACCAGCATTAAGGATCAGAATCCAGCTGACTTTCCCAAAATGACACTGGAAGCTAAAAGACGGGGGAAAACTTGCCTTCAAAATTCAGGGGTGGGGGTGATTTCCAGCTTAGAAATGGATTCCCATGAAACTCCAAACAAGATAATAGAGTAGAAATATCTGCAGATAATTTTCAGATTGCAAAATGAAAAACCAGAACTCTCACGGACGCTTCTTGCCAGGAAGCTCCTGGAAGATACGGACTGACCAAAGAGGGAGAGCAAACCATAGACGAGGAAAAAAAAGGAATACAGGGAACAGGTGATCGAGCACAGGAGAGGCAGGCAGGCGTCCCAGCATGATGGTGAGAAGACCTAGGACAAGAGCCGAGCAGTAAAAGAGACCAGAAAGCAGCCAGTCAAGACCAGAGCAGGAAGAGCAGGGCTTGGGGGAGACCCAGAGCCAGCAGATACGCCCGTGTGTCTGACAGCACGGAGGAGGGTTTGTCTCTTGGAGTCAATTGAAGCATTTGGAAAGAAATTAATGATAGCTCCACAGAAAGCAGAGCAAACCAAAAAGCAAGGCAAGCAATAACCAGAGGAAAATAAAAAGTGATACAGGGGAATGTTAGCCTGGGACACTACAGGGCTCAGCTCTGAGCAGCATCTACAGATAGGTGACAGTGTAAACACTGAAGGCGGACCAAGAAAAAACTGTGGTCTAGTCACGGTGAAAAGATGAAGAGAAGTGTGTGTGTGTGTGTGTGTGTGTGTGTGTGTGTGTTGGGGGGATTGGGGTAAGATACGCAGTCAAAGTGTTCTACAATCAAAGGTCACTATGGAACCCTATCTGAAATTGAAAAATTGAGAACCAACAGTATAAGCATATTTTTAGGTTATTCTAAGAATAAAAAAAAAAAAGTTTAAAGGGTTGAAAATGCAGTGAACTTGGGAGTGAGGAGGAGTCACAGTGGTTTTGTGTTTCAAGTGCGTGCACTAGTGTCTGCAAGAGAGTAAAATATTAGTTGTAATTTTGTTAAAGAGAAGAACAAATGTCTGCTCAGTGCCCAGAGAGAGCCCGGCGGCCTAGCTCTGAAATCGGGGTCCTCTGGCACAACCTGACCCCTGATCCCGCTTCGGCCCCTTCCCGGGTCTTCAGACACCAAGAAGGAAGGGTGGGGTGGGAGGGGAATGAAGGTGGGGGCTCTTCCTGAATTTTAAGGGAAGCCCTCCATCCCCAACTCTGCCCTATAGATGGAAGGGCAATGGGAGGGGGTCCCACATGCTGAGCAGAACCACAGAAAGGGGCAAGGCAAGGGTCAACCAGGACACGAAAAGCTGGTGAACTGTGGGGCAGCCTGAACTCCCCTTCCCGCAGCTGCGGTGCTGGTGCTGGTGCCATTTGTGAACTCCCTGCTGCTGCGGAGAGGCGGGGGGCGTGGACAACTGTTGCTAGGACACATGCTTACCAGGGAGGCCGACTTCTTACCAGGGTCTCTAAGGGGACCAAGAGGAAGGTTGGGACAGGCAGGGCCTGAACAAAGAGGCTTCTGGAGCTGGGGTGGGGGGGGGGGTACCCCCAGCCAAACGTCTGCTGCTGTCTCTGGGGCACAGAGTGGGGACGGCACAGACACTGCCCCAGCTGCACCCCACTTCTGGCAGGCACTCCGGTGTGTGGGGCCCCGTAGCAAAGGGAGACCACACCTGCCCCTAGACCAGACAGGAGAGGATCCCCCTTAGCAGGGAACAGCTCTGTGCGTCTGAGGGAACCAGTGGGCAGAGGCCGCTTCTGGGCCCCCACTTGCAACTGGCACATGATTGGAAAAGGATTCTCAACAGTAGCGCGAGCAGCTCCCCAGGAACCCAGGTTTCTGTGGACCCTGCTGCTTCCAGGGACATCAGGCATCAGAGCCCCCCCTTATGCCCAGAGCAGGGCCCCATCTGGCCTCAGCATTCTCACCTGGCAGAGCCAAGCTGGGAATTCGAGGCGGCCACCTGCACTCGCAGGGGCGCGGGAGGCATGTGATCAAGGCCCTTATTCTTTCAGAAATCCTGGACTGAGGGAGCACCTACCCGGTGCCCGGCTCTGCTGATGTGGGCTCCCAGCCTGTTCCTGCTCTCACCCCTGCCACTGCCTTGCCCTAGGCCCCCGGATGAGCCTCTGACCCATCTGTACCCGGGGGTTTCTGTCTACAAACAGACAACGTCTTTGCTGCTCACTCCCATCAGAAACACCAGACTGAGAAAAGAGGCACAGGGGGAGGCTCCCTGTTTGCCAGCATCCCTAAAAGTGCCATGGGAGCCCTGTGGCCAAGTGCTACACATGGGGCCGTCCCCTGCACGTGGGGGTCCAGACGGGAACCCTGAAGTGGACAGAGAAGCGAGGCACAGCCCAGGCCGAGGGGCTCCGGGCTCCCAGGCCCACCCGGCGCTCCCCGGCACCCCAGCCTAGCCCACACGCCCTCCTCACCCTCATAGCAGTCCCGCACAGTGCCGAAGTAGACGTAGTACTGGTCGTTGGTGAAGAAGAGAAGGCTGAGCCAGGAGTCGAAGGCATAGATGGGCACGATGAAGAGGATGCGGACGATGTAGCGCTGCTCGTTGGGGCAGCTGTAGCAGCGCAGGTGCATGTAGATCTGCGGGCAGATAGGGGTGGGCTCAGCCAGGGAGCCCCCCACGGCAGCCCATCTGCCACCCGCCACCCCTGTACTCCACGGCCAAGGGGACAGTCGTGCCCTGCTATTCGCCTCCGCTGCTACCTGGTGCCGTGACCAGTCCCCGGCCCTGAGCCCCAACCCCTCCTCGGCGACAGAGCTCCCACCACAAACCCGGGGGGCAGAGCTTGTAGGGTGCATTCAGGGGGCCCAGGCCAGCGTCACAGACGTGGGGGCCACGAGACCAGGCCCAGGACTCTACAGATCCGAGGAAAGCATGGTCGGGGATGCAACAAGCGCCCCAGGGCCTGTGCGCCCAGCCAGTTGGGGAACCTGGGGTGAGCGGCACAGAGGAGGCCCTCCATGGAAAGGCAGATCTCCTTGCCAGCACCCCGGCCTTCCTGATGCCTTGACCCCGGGGTTTTAGGGCAGCAGCGTCCACCCTGTGCAAGGGACAGAAGGGACCCTCGCTTCCCCAGAGGCAGAAGCGCTTCCCCAGTGAGTGGCTACAGTGATGTCACTGTCACCCGGCGTCTCCCGTTCCCATGTGTCAGAGCCGCGCTGCCGGCCCCACGGGGAAGGGGGGGAATATGGTGCAGTTTTTAGAAAGCAGGAACTAGCAGCCACACACGAAGGCCGGCAACTGCTCCAGCCACGCTTCTCAGTCCCGGCAGCCAGAGTCCCGGCCCAGCTCTCACAACCGCATACCCGGCCCGCCGCGTCCTGGGCTCGGGGAGCGGGGGCGGGGGTTGGGGGCTGGGGGTTGGGGGAGAAGAAAATCTCCCCCAGCTGCTAGGAGCCAACTGCCTTGGAAGCGATCGGGTTCAAGGAGGGACAGGGACACTGAGCTGACAGGGGACCCAGACGGGCTCAGCCGCCCTTCTTCAAACCTTCTTCCTCGGGCAGCCCAGGCAGGCCTCCTCTGGGACTGTGAGTACAGGGGGACAGGAGACCTGCCCTCCATCCTGGCTCTGCCGCCAGCCTATGCATGACTAGGCCAGCACCCCACCACCTCTATGTCTCAATCTTTTCCTCTGCAAACGGGTCACTGACATCCGTGTGCCTCTGCAGGGCCCCCTACAGCCGAGGTAGCCCATGTGACCTGTCCTGTCCCATGGACGTGAGCAGAAGCCTGGCCTCATACCCCGTGGGGACTAGAAAACCTCTGAGGACCCTTCTGCAGGGCCTCCCTCGGCTCTCCGGCTTAAGAGCCCCGGGCTGGCCTGGGTACCTGGTGGCAGGTGATGAGCAGGGCCGTCCAAACGAAGAACCCGGAGATGGCCTGCGCGGCCGTTGTCATCAGGAACACGGGCTGCTCCATGGCCGTGGGGCTGCCCTCGGGGATCACAGACACGCTGGGCGGCGCTGCCACGGTCGTGGGCGACGCTGGATCTGGGGCCAGCGCGGCCCCCCTCACCGTCATGATGCCTGGCAGCCAGGGGTCCCTGCGACAAACCCTTGCAGTAGACAACGAGTGGCCTAAAGAGAGGACACCGCAGCATTAGCCTCCTTCCCGGGGAGCGGCAGCGTGGCCAACAATCTTCCAGGCCTCCACGTCCACCTTCAGACTATAACTGGACTCTGACCACGTGTGTCCTGGCCCAGCCCCACCGTGTCTCCCCTGGATTTGTGTAACAGGCACCTGAGCAGTCACTCGGCTTCTGCCTTGGCTCCTACTGTCCCATCCCCACAAAGAAGCCACAGGAGGCTTCTAAGACCTTCACTACCCTGGGCCCCCCTTTGTTCAAACCTCCCCAGTAGCTCCTAACTCCTTCAAAGTATAACCTGCTGTCCGTATAATGGCCCCCAAGACTGGCCAGTGGCTCCTTGTGGTTCTCATCTCCCTGCTACCTGCTGCGGAGACCCTCCCCCGCAACCACACTGGCCTCTGGTCCCCGGACCTCTGCTCGGGCTGCCACACAGCATCCATGGGCACCTCCCTTAGGTCCCTGCCCTGACCACCCACGCATGCTGGCGACGCCTCCCCTGCTCCAGGCACTCCCGACCTCTTCGCTTTCTTTTTCTCCAGAACTCTCCTTCCGACCCCCCCCCCCCCCCCCCCCGACTCCCTCTGACAAAGCTACATTCACTCGTAGGTTTAGAACACAAGCTCCCCAAGGGCTGGGCCGGGGGGGCCCCATCCTGCTCCCAGCACCTGTCACACAGCAAACATCTGCTGGGTCTGTGCGTCGCCACACCTCCCCGTCTCGCAAGGTCACTTGGTGGCTTTCTCTCTTAGAGGAGGGGCTGTGCCTTCTCTTTGACATTTCTCCCCAACTTCCCGGAGAGCTGGCCCCCCGTTCATCATCCACCTGAGCTGTTTCGGGGCACTCTGTGGCCACCTCGTGTGCCTTCAAACAGCTCTGTCTTTTTTTTTTTTTTTAAAGATTTTATTTAATTATTTGTCAGAGAGAGAGAGGGAGAGAGAGCAAGCACAGGCAGACAGAATGGCAGGCAGAGGCAGAGGGAGAAGCAGGCTCCCTGACGAGCAAGGAGCCCGATGTGGGACTCGATTCCAGGACGCTGGGATCATGACCTGAGCCGAAGGCAGCTGCTTAACCAACTGAGCCACCCAGGCGTCCCCAAACTGCTCTGTCTTAATTCAGTTTTCTGCATCCCTCTTCCTAAAAGGCTGCCCCCTATGCTTCCCCCAGTCAGACTCCTCTCCACGTCACACGCCGTCATACTCCTCATAACAATGGCTCTGTCCCTTGCTTGTGTGTATCCCCCCGCGACCGTCCGCTCTCTGCAGCAAGAACAGCATTTCTGTCTTTTGATCCCCAGCACCAAGCTCAGCACCAAAGCCATTTATAACATTTACTTTGTTACCTACTGATCTTCAGTCCTTATTTTTAAAAATTTCAGGTATTTCCTAGAAAAGCACACAGAGATGAGCAAACTGGCATACCGGGAAATTCTGGGTGGGAAAATAAAGATGGGAGGGGGTGGGACACAGGCTGGCCTTCTAGGGTCCTAGGGGCCCACCCAGTCCCCCCACACAGGCTCTCCATCCGCTGCTCTTCCCAATGGCGACTTCAAGAGCCATGGTAACAAATGAACAATTTCACATTAAAAATGAACCCAGATGCCCTCAGGGAAGAGCTGCCGTCCAAGAATAAAATGACTCCAGAGAGGCTCGTCACTGCTGGACCCAAGGCCATCCGAGCCACACCGCCCGAGAGACGACCCTTTCAGTTCTGCCAGCTGCCAATGGGCTGGTCAGCATCCCCGGAGCCACTCAGTGTCCCTGCAGCAGAGGCTCTGGGAGACTAAGCTGCAGAGCCACCAGAGGCTCCGCTGACCGTGAAGCAGAGAGCGTGGACACCAGGGAGGGCACCCTGACTACAGCTTGGGTCCCAGCTCCACCAGCAATCAGTCGTGGGACCCACAGAGCTTTGCTGGGCCGGGAGGGTCTCTGCGGCCTGTGCAGGACACAACCAAGCCCCCAAACCTGACCATCTCAGCCTGAGCCCCAAGGTCAGCCCAGATGACCCCTCACGGTCCGGTCCCTTACAAGTCCCAGCTGATATTCTCGGCCAGAATATACTGGCATCAATGGAGGCTTCCGGGGTGCACCCAGGCCCACGGCCTGACTCTGGATGAAGAAGTTCTTTGCTTACGTGTCCCCACGCTCCTGGCTTTGCCCCCGGCCCCCTCAACATCTCCAGCACCCCCGGCCCCCACATGTGCATCTGCTCTTAGCTCTAAGTTTTTACCCTAGGAGAGCCCTTTGCGTTTCTATTTTCCTGTGAAAATAAGTGATCTCTAACACACTGACCAAGAGCTGAATCTGGATTTAAAATCCAAACTGGAGAAGGCATCTATATAAAGAAACTCAAAACTGTTGAAGGTGTCTATATAAAGACTGGTGGCGAGCTCCGAGAAACAGTGACAAGTCTGAGAATAGCTCCTGCAAAGATGGTTGCAAAATTGGAAACCAGAGCCAGAAATACTTCTTTAAAAAAGAAGATTTGGGTTGTAAATCATCATCTTTGTCTATCATCCCAAATTAAATGAATAAACACAGGGAATTGGGGGGGGGTGCTTAGAGGAAGTACAAATATTCCTAAATCCCCAGCTTCCAAGCACAGGCAGGCCGGTGCGTCAAAGGCTGTTTTGTTCCTGCTGAAGGCGGCTTGGGGAGGCCGGGCACAGGGGCACTGCTAAGCTGACCCTGTCCACAGGGAGCGGATCTGCGCCAGGGACCTGCCTTGGCTGTGGAAGCTGAGTGAAGGCTCCAGGCCCAGCTTCTACCTGGGGCTCTGCTCACTGCCACTTGAGTGTCCCCCTACCCCAAGCCCAGAGAGACACTGGCATGCAGAGCTCTCTCGCCCTTATCCCGTGTAGGTCCCTTAGCTTACGAGCAAGAGAGCTGCTCAGACAGGGTGGGTGACTTGCCCTAAAATCAGGGATAGGACTCAAACTCAGGTCCTATAAACACATTGTCAGGCCCACCCTACAGAGTGGGGGCCCTGTGTGAGCGGCCCCTCCCGCGCCAGAGCCTCCTTCCAAGGGCCGGTCCTTCCTAGCAGGCCCGAGACCCTCCTTGCCAAAAAGGGAGAGAGGTCCTCTGCAGGGAGGCGCAGCGGGTGCTGGAAGGGCTCACCAGCCTGATCGCACTCGCCAGCCTTCTGGGTTTACTATAAACTCTTTACCTAACTCTGGACAGCGCTCAGTTTACACACTGTTTTCCCAAGCACCATCTCATTTTTTTTGCACAGCAACTTTGAACTAAGTACTATTAACTGCACATGATTCGAGGGTTTTCATAATATCCTCCCCCTCCCCCCCCCAAAATACGTGAAGCAACATTCTGACTCACAGACGCATGGCCCCTGGCACGAAAGAACAGCAGGTGAGGCCGGCTCCTCCAAGGCTGTAGATCCCAGGGGCTCGCCTTGCTCCCAGGGCCCAGGGCAGCACACGATGCTGGACCCTGCAGACTGCTCACAGTGTGTGTGCTGGGACGGGGGGATGGACACCGGGATCCTGTCCTCTCACACTTGGGCGGCATCAACGGCCTCGGCCAAGGCTGGGGGGAGGGTCAGGGAAGGCTTCAAAGCGGCAGGGACTTTGGGGCAGAGTGTTTAAGGAGCAAAACCAAGCTTCAGCACTGGGGCCACCCAACGGGATTCCTGCCAGACCTCACCATCTGCGAGTGTGGACAAGTGACTTCATCTCTAAGAACCTGAGTTTTTCCCATCTGTAACACTTCAGGGTAACTACAGAATGGATGAGGGAGTGTTCTACTTCACAGAAGTCCCAGGACGCCTGGGTGGCTCAGCTGGCTAAGCAGCTGCCTTCGGCCCAGGTCCTGGGATCGAGTCCCACGTCTGGCTCCTGGCTCAGCGGGGAGCCTGCTTCTCCCTCCCACTCTGCCTGCTGCTCTCCCTGCTTGTGCTCTCCCTCTCTGTTAAATGCATAAATGAAATCTTATAAATAAATAAATAAATAAATAAAAATAGAAGTCCCGTTAATGAATAGAGGCAGAATGATAGAATAAAATAATAGAACAAAAATGACCATTTTGCAACCCCTAATAAAATTCTGGATGTAGAGACGGATCAGCAGTGGCTGATAAAACCCCTTAGCTAACACAGTCTGGGCAAGTGCAAATCTGAACCCACAGTCAAGATCGACATCACCAACACGGAGCTGCGAGAAGTCTCCAGCCTCCTGATGGGATACATAGGGAGCACACGCCACCACCATCTAGGGAGGACCCTTCCCCAAAAGTGAAATGGGATCAAAGCAAGCCTCCAGAGCTACCACCAGTAGCCAGGAAATGCAGAGGGCACTGGGACAGACTAAATGATGTCACGAGGACGCAGCAGCCGAGTCTAGACCACGGGACAATCTACAGGACAAATGGCGTAGTTTCACCAACAAATCAGAGGCTTATAAACAAAGGTGCTCGAGGGGCTCTTACAGAATAAAGACTCGAGAGACATAACGAAATGCAACAAGTGGACTTTGTTGGGTCCTGATGCTAACAAACCAAGGATGGAAGGACCTCTTTGAAACAGGTAACACACAGGAATTGTCAGTTTCATTAGGCGTGATCACGGCATGGCCGGTACATAAACGTCCTTATCAAGGGAGGGAGAATCATGTCTTCAATAAACAGCACTGGAACAGCTGGACATCCAGAGAGAGAATGAATGCTTAACCTAAATCTTTACACCATATACAAAAATTAATTTTAAATGGGTCACAGATTTAAAGGCAAAATGCAAGACAATAAACTTAGAATTCTCAAACTCAGCAGTAAAAAAAATAATACAATTAGAAAATAGGCAAAAGGGGCAACTGGGTGGCCCAGTCGTTAGGTGTCTGCCTTTGGCTCAGGTCTTGATCCCAGGGTCCTGGGATCGAGCCCCACATCAGGCTCCCTGCTCAGTAGGAAGGCTGCTTCTCCCTCTCCCACTCCCTGTGTTTCTGTTTCCTCTCTCACTTCTCTCTCTGTCAAATGAATAAAT